CAAATGAATAAAGAGAGAGGTCATATTTTGTTTTTGATTAACATGCCTGGAAAATGAGGTGGATAAAGAAAAGTGGAATTGTGAAATGTCACTGTTAGTTGATACATCGATGATTTTACCTGGAAATTACCCCCCAAACAAGTGATTTGCACATGCGTGCATTCCATCAATTTGAGAAGAATTAAAATGGAATCTCTTTTAGTCAAGAAAAAATCAGTCACGACTTCCCAAGTCAAGGAGGTAATATTTTCAAGTTTTATAGCGATGTTAAATATTTGATAAAAAAAAGAAGAAGAATTTTTGTTATTTATAATTATTATTCAATTCAACCAGAATTATATAAGATATTTGTGATTTATATAATAAAAAAAATCATTCTTTTGTATTTTAATTTAAGGAAAATTTTGTGATAAATCTTATTACAAGGAGAAAGGAGAAAAGAGATAAACAAAAATGAGAAAGAAAAGGACAATATCAAACTCACGTACACAATTACAAATCATATTCTGTAAGTTAATAAACAGTTGACCTGACTTGAACATTCAATTACACCTAATATTAATTCTTTTAACCATAGCATGTCGGTATTATAAGCTTTATTAGAATCCGACAGGTTTTGAGATGTTTGTTTGAAGAATGATGATGGCCATATCTCAGCAAAAACTCAATTGTATGTGGCACAACTTTTGATTCATGCGCACTTGAATTGAGAATGGACCGAGAGTGAAATTCGATCAAGATTGCAAACTAGAAGTTGACAACATCCTTAACTCCAAAAAGAATCTGAATTTGGTGTCATCATTGCTTATTAGGTCTTATAGCTTCTAAACCAAACTTCAAAAAGTTGTGTTGTTAGGAGATAAAAGAAGTTGATCATAAGTTAGGGCAGATACAACTAGTCAACTACTACTCTAGTTAGAGTTTATAGTTTTTTTTTTTTAGTGTGTAATTGAAAAGAGTTAAGTAACATATAAATATAAATAAGAAAGAACTATATATAAAAATCTTGATGTCTTAAGATTTTTCATAAATAATTTTTAGAAAATTTAAAATACTCATTATATTATTAATATTAACATTTTATATTTTATATTAAATATATGATTATTTAATCAAGTATATTATCATTATTGTTTATCATAGCAACTTGATATTATTAATCTTGATTTGAATCTATCATTTCTAACCTAAAAATATATAGTTGTTGCCATTTATTTTTAAGGTCGACTTTAGATATTTATGATATGAATGATCTTAACACTTTGTTCAGAGGAGATAAAGGATTTGAATGGAAAAGGGAAAAAAATAGGTAGAAAATTAGTTGATTAGAAATAGGTAAAATAATATAGCAAAAAATATTATAATTGTTTGATAAGATAAAATTAAATGAAAAATAGAAGTAAATTAAAATTTTAAATTGTATTTTATAACATTAAAAATTTTAATTATGTTTTATATATCTATATACGTAACTCTGGAAAACACATTAAAAAAAATACTAAATTCAAATATTAGGAACCATAATTATATTTCCAAGATAAAGAAACCACAATTGATTATGTTTTTGTTCTGTTTTACAATTTGCTCAGGACAATTTTGTCATCAAATTTTCAGGTGTATAATATTCCTCACAAATTCTCACATGTTAAGAGGTAAGAAACTTGATGTGGGTTCCACACAAATTTTCACAACAATCCTCTTAACATGGGTGAAGGCAAGTGAATATGAATATGAAGACATGATTAACTAGATTTAAGAAGTTTTGTTATGATCATGGAATCAAAATGAAGAGGAGGATTCTGTTAGGTATACCTTAAATCCTTAACACAATGGTATAGTATGAATCAAGATAGATTTATCAAATTTCTCCATATACATATAGATAGAATACAAAATACTACTATAGGATTATTTAGTATCAATAATAGTATTTAGAGTTAGAAATAAAATATTCTATTTTTTTTTAAAAGTATAATAATGTAATACAATGATTAGATTATGCTTTAAATTAAAATATGTATAATCTATAGATATATTTATTAGAATTATAAAGTATTTTATTATTAGATATTTGATTGTTAAAAATATATTAAAATTAAAGTATATTTTAGTAAGTAACTAGGTCTTGATAAAGACTCCAGACGACGTTGATTGAAAGAACCAGAAGCTTCTGTTTGCAACTAGACTTGCCAAAGTAGTTTTGGATAAAAGCAGTTAACATAACAACTTACTTAATAAATTAAGGTCTATCGGTACCATTGAAGCACAAAGTACTGAAAGAGGTATGGAGTGGAAAGAGGTAAAACTCTCACATCTCAAAGTTTTTGGTTGTAGCATATGGGTACATTAATGATAAAGGAAGGAATAAGCTTGATCCCAAATTGAAGAAGAGCATTTTCATCGATTATGATGAGGATGAGTTTCACTACTACCTATGAGATAATGAAAACAAAATAGTAATTCATACTAGAGATATGGAAGAGTGATGTACAAGGACAAGGTTAACATGCACATTAGTAACTCAAAGCAAAGTGGTTCGGTGTATCTAGAAGTGGACGATGTCCCAAAAACTCCTATAGTTGAAAGAACTCAACATGAGGAGTCAATTGAAAATACTAATGAGCAACAACTTGACACACTAAAGTCTTCTACTTCAACTGTTATTTGAGAAGATTTTCTCAACTTAATGTGCCTAACAAGAAATACCTAATTAATATATTGTTAACTGATGAAAGGGAGCTTAAAAACTATGTGGAAAATGTCAAATCACAAATACTAGTAAGTGAGAGCTTCCCATGAAAGAGGAGATGAAATATTTGTTTTTTAGTTAGTCATGGTTACTAGCAAACTATGGGAAAGAAGACAAAACTAGTTGTTAAAGGATTTCAACAAAAGGAAAGATTTTACTACACTAAAATCTTTACTTTAATTGTGAAGATAGTATCATATTTTTCTTAATATTGTTGCTAGTAAGGTGCTATATTTTTAGCAATTGGATGTTAAGACTACATTTCTTCATGAAGACTTAACTAAGGAGATACACATGAACCAATCCGAGGGTTTCTTAGAAGAAGGAAAAAAAATGGAGTGCAAAATACACAAGAGTTTGTATGGCTTGAAACAAACTCCAAGAGAGTGCTATAGGAAGTTTGAAAGCTTTATGCACAAGGAAAGTTTCTAGAAGTGCAACACCAACCACTATTGTTTCTTCAAGAGATATAAGTCTAGTTATATTATTTTGCTACTTTATCTTGATGATATGTTAGTGCCTGGTTTAGATATGAACGAGATTAAAAGCTTGACGTAACAATTGTCAAAAGAATTTGACATGGAACACTTGGGTCCAACAAAAAGGATCATCAGAATAAAAATCACAAGAGATAAGCAAAGGAGGATTTTGCAATTATCTCAAGTATATTACATCAATCATGTTTTGCAAAGATTCAACATATATGGGTGATGCTAAGTCGGTTAACATATCTTTGGCCAGTCATTTTCACTTATCCAAGGACCAGTCCACTCAATTGGATGAAGAAAGAGTTCATGGTTAAGAATTCATATGTTTTAACCATTAGATGTTTGATATAAGCGATGGTCTATATGAGGCCAGACATTGGCCATGTAGTAAAAGTTATTATCAAATTTATGTCTGATCCATGCAAAGCATAATGGGAAACAGTTATGTGGATTTTGAAATATCTATGAGAAACTATAGAGAAATGTTTGTACTTTAATAAAGGATCGAGAGTTAAAAGTACAATGCTACATAGATGCAAACTCTAGAGGTGAAGTCAATAATCGAAGAAGTACAATTGGTTACATTTTCACTGTTGGTATTTCAAGTATTAATTAGATGTCATAGATACAGAGGATTGTTGTTTTATCCACTATAGAGGTTGAACATGTAGCAGGGATTGTTAATGTAGTTGAGATTAATTCAAAAGAATAGTGTTTTGCATAGTGATTGTAAGAGTGCAATACATCTAGCAAATATTTTAGTATTTCATTATAGAACAAAACATATTGGTCTATATTATCACTTTATCAGATCTTTGCTTGAGGATGAGGTGCTAATATTGAAGAAAAGGCGCTAATATTGAAGAAAATTCAAGGAAGTAAAAAACCAACAAACATGCTAACTAAAGGTAGTAACTACCTACAAATTGAAGTTGTGTTGAACTTCAGTTAGTCTATTATAATAATAGACTATATAAGATTGTTACATTAATTGATGTGTGAAGACAAATTGAAGTTAGTCTTCAAGTGCAAGATTGTTGAAAGTGATCACAATACCATCCAAAAAAAAGGAGCATATGATGTTGTTTTAATTAAGATAAAATAAGAAAATCAAGAGTAGAAATAGCTACATAAAATAAGAAAATAGATGAGGGGAAGAAAACTTTACATGTATTTAAAAGTATAAGTTTTCTACTTCTTTGTTATTATTTCAAACGGCATTACTTAATAACAATAATTTGCTAAGTCGGTAATGAAAATTATTTTGTCTTCATCTTGTGAGTGCATTCAGATTTGATTGTATTTAGAATATGCATTTATAAAAATTAGAACTTTATGACCAGCTATTTCGTTAACCAATTGATTAATATTCGATAATGAATATACATCCTTTGGACATGCCTTATTTAAGTCAATGTAATTAGTGTACATTCTTTATTTTTTATTCGACTTTTTGATACTTTTTATTCAGTTTTTTGACCATGATTATATTTGCAAGTCACGCGATATAGTGTACTTCCCGAATAAACACGGTATATTAAGTATTGCACAACTCCCATAAATTTAATACTTGGACTTTCATTTATTACTTGCAAATTTGACATGCTCGTCAAATATCTAACAATCGAATAAAATAATGAGTTGGTCAGGTTTCATTATATCCTATTTTTAACCTCCAAATCAGTGTATTGTGGGTAATACATACCTGCTAACCTTAATGAACGTGTGGATGAGTTATTAGAACTTGTAATCTTATAAGATAAACTTGACCATAAGATTAAGGTATAAACTTTAATGCCGCAACCAACTCTTGTAACTTAGTATTTTTTCAATAGTACATTATCAATGAAATGAGAGCAACGAATTTTTGGCTGTTTAATACTATTAAATACGAAAAACATTCAAAAGCTTTATGCTTGAAATTATTTAATACATTAACCTTGGCCATTAAGCTGCTCTGAACACAACAATGGGGCTCCTAACATGGAATTCACCACCATCCCAAACCAAAGAAGCAGACTGTAGAGCTTCATCTATTGTTCCCTCAATTGTGAGCACAAATGTTTGCTTTTGGTTAAGAGAAGTGAATGATAGAACACTGGGGTTCACCTCAATTTTTAGTCCTTGAGGAGCTGTCACAATAGCTTTATATGTGGACGTTGCTGACCCAACATTTGTTACAGTCCTGTTAAAACTGCCACTTACACTTGAGTTGGAGGGTGGCACAGAAAGTGCAAATGAAGCATAGTTTAGATCCCTTGCTGAACCATACTTTGTTTCAGAGCAGCTACTGTTATCCCCTGTGATGAGTTGTAAAGTCCTTGAACTATAGCCTTGTCCACACAAAAGCCTTACATAGTCTATTTCACCAGCATCATATACTAAACCGGGGAACACAGCCTTGGAGGGATCAATTTGGCCTGCACCATATGCGAATTCTGCTTGAAAGTTTTCCGAGGGAATAAGTTGTTTAGCTGGAAGGTGCACAAAGAAGGGAGTTAGTTGGCTAAAGGTGTGGTTCCAATACTAGTCGAGATATGTCATCATCACTCATTTCATTTCTATTACCTGTTGTCATTAGAGCTGAACGAATAGCAGCAGGAGACCATGTTGGATGAAATGATTTAACATATGCTGCTGCCCCAGAAACATGTGGACAAGCCATTGAAGTTCCGGAGATAATATTGAAATTTAATGTTCTGTTGTCACCGTCAACATCAGAAGGAGGAGAAACTGGAGACCAACTAGCAAGAATGGCAACTCCAGGAGCCACTAAATCCGGCTACAACAAGTAGAAAAGAAGATTTAGGAGAGATAATCATGAATGCTGAAAAACTAGGACAAAGTTATTCTTCCATCAAAGTTAGAATTTCATCTTAATATATATTTACATTTATTATCAACCTCAGTGATATTCATTATGCCTATTACCAAGTGAAACTCTAATCTTGATTAAGGAACAACATCAAGACATTATGCTTAAGTTTTGTCCAAAAATAATTTTATGATCTTAGCATCAGTAATTATTTAAGAGGGATATTTTTTTTTTAAGAGAAGAGTTATAATTTAACTTTATTAATAGGCTTTCTATTTATATAACCAAACTATAATACAAAAATTGAAATACTAACATTGTTCTAACCTTAAAATTAAATTGATGATAGCCTAAACCCATATGATAAAAATAACATTTTTATCCTTATCAAAACAATATCCTAAAAATTTAAAATATAACAAACTTCCTAAAAACTTTCAAACTAAAAATATTTAAGTATATTCTTAACACTTACATCATCACATATCTATAGTATCGATCAATCTCTATGTGAGATATATAATCGAGTTTTATTATCTCTTTGTTGTAAATTGAAAAACTTGTCTACATGTCATACAGAGGATAATTGATGTAGATTATGTCTTTAAATACGTGGTGATCTGTTACCATACAATAATTTCTCTAGAATGTCAGATTAAGATATATTTAAGTCAGTCACAGAAAATCTAAATGTACCTTGAGAATTTCAGGTGTAACAAGGCTTGGACCCCTTGAAGAGAAAGAGGCCACAACAGGGGCTACTGTATCTTTTATCTCATCACTCTTAAATATGGTTGCAGTTGGAGTCCTGCCAAAAGTCCATGTTAGACAAGTATCATTATTCTATACACTCTTGTTAATATAAGTGGCATCTTCAGTTGATACCTTGTAGAGTTTATGTAGTCATATACAGTGGCACCATCCTGCAATCCTAGGTAAGATCCAGCCAATGGAAGAGTTGAAGGACTATCTCTATAATTTTGACCTTGTACCAATGCCCCAACAGCACCAGCATCAAAAGGGCCTATCGCTTTGCTTCTGCTCTCGCAGAGAACAATTTTACCCTGAACTAATTTTTTGTCCAACGAGCCGCTGAAGCAAAACCTGCACAGTTAAAACATTTCATTAACAAAATAGAATATTTTAGAACATAGTTTGGATCTCACAGGACTATTTATACTTGTATAAATGTTTGTTTGGCCTTGATGTTATACATCTTAAGAGATATCAGGGCTAGTTAGTAGTTACCTTGACTCCGATCCATCGTAGTCTTTGTTTGGTGCGTCTCCACCATAAATTATAGGATACAATTTTCCCTTGAGGTCAAATGTATTTATTGAGATACCCTAAACATGGAACGATGAAAGAATCATTTGTGATGCTATAATTTATAGAATAAATAATACATATATGGGAATCCAATTACAAAGTTTTATTTATTATAAATTTATTAACTTTTAGAATAATTATCTTATAAGTTATATCAAAGATGCTTTCTGATCTGTTAATGGTGGAAAGACTTTTACACTATTCAATTTTTAAGTCAATATTCATATGATACAGTTCAATTCATCAACCAATGAAGAATTCACTAGCATGGGATAGAGAAGGTACTTTACCTCATAGGAATTGTTGTTACCTAATTCAACCTTGGTAACAAACTTCCTGTCTATGGTACTAGCAGCCACAGTAATTGACCAAGGCAAAAAATTCGATAAGGAGGAAGGTCTTGGACCATTGTTTCCTGCTGAGGTTAG